CGTCGGGCTCTGCACTCAGCCCTGAGTCTGCTTGTGTTTCTCTCTCCCTCTCCCTCCACCCCTCCCCCCTGCGTGTGTGCACTCTTTCTCTCTCTCTCAAATAAAGAAATCTTTGGGCGCCTGGGTGGCTCAGTTGGTTAAGCGACTGCCTTAGGCTCAGGTCATGATCCTGGAGTCCCAGGATCGAGTCCCACATCGGGCTCCCTGCTCAGCAGGGAGTCTGCTTCTCCCTCTGACCCTCTTCCCTCTTGTGCTCTCTATCTCTCAATCTCTCTCTCTCAAATAAATAAATAAAATCTTTAAAAAAAATAAATAAAGAAATCTTTAAAAAATGCAATAGCTTCTTTTTTTTTTTAAGTTTATTTAAGCCACCACTATACCCAACATGGGGCTCAAACTCACAACCCCAAGATCAAGAGCCTCTTGCTTTACTGACTGAGCCAGCCAGGTGCTCCAAAAACTGTAATAGCTTCTTTTTTTTTTTTTTTTTTTAAATTTTTGTTTTTATGTCAGAGAGAGGGGGGGAGAGAGAGAACGGCAGGCAGAGGGAGAAGCAGACTCCCTGCTTAACAGGGAGCCCGATGTGGGACTTGATCCCAGGACCCTGAGATCATGACCTGAACAGACGCTTAACCGACTGAGCCACCCAGGCGTCCCTGTAATAGCTTCTTAAGTAGTCTCTATACATCTACTCAGGGCCACCTCCAATCTGTACACCTCACTGCAACCAGAGAGATCTTTTCAGAGCATAAATTATGTCACCCTGTTGCCTAAAGTATTTGAGTAGCTTTCTTTTTTTTTTTAAGATTTTATTTTATTTACTTGATAGAGAGAGAGAACACGAGAGAGGGAATACAAGCAGGGGGAGTGGGAGAGGGAGAAGAAGGCTTCCCGCGGAGCAGGGAGCCAGATGTGGGGCTCAATCCCAGGACCCTGGGATCATGACCTGAGCCGAAGGCAGACATTTAACCACCCAGGCGCCCCTGAGTAGCTTTCTTTTGCCCCCAGAATAAAAACCATCAAAGTTCTTAACACGGCCTAACGCTTAACAAGGTTCTACCAAGTTTCTGGCCACTGACCCTTCTTGCCCCATACAACCTTTTCTTTTCTGCCATACTAGCCTTTTAATTACTATACTCTGCCAACTCCTTTTGCCCCAGGGACCTTATGAATACTGTTTCTTCTTTCTGGAACCCTTTCCAACTCACCTGCCCTTACCTGTTTTGTTAAGTGCCTCCTGGTAATCTTAATAGGTTTCAGCACAAATATCCCATTTCCTCATAGAAGCCTTCCCTGACACCCCAGACTGGGCAAAAATCTCCCTTTAAAATACTCTCATTCCAGGGCAACTAGCTAGCTCAGTAGGTAGAGCATGTGACTCTTAATGGCAGGATCATCAGTTCAACCCCACATTGGGCATGAAGACTACTTAAAACAAAACTAAACAAAACAAAACAAAAAATGCATTCCTCTCTTTCTTAACACCTGTCAGAGCTATGATGTTATTTCTTTGGATAATGACCCAACTTGGGATTTAAGTGGCTGTTTATTTGATGCTTGTCTCCCTCACTAGACTGTTTCATTCTGGTTTTATCTCAGGTGAACCTTGGAGAAATGACATAGTCATCCACGAGGACGTCCACTGGAAGTGCAGCCCAAATTCTTTGAAACTACTCCTATCAATAGGTGGGATGTATTCCCTCTCCTTGAATCTGAACTCTGAGGCTCCCTGGCAAATAGAATATAGCAGAAATTACACTGTGCTGGTTTTTAAGCCCAAGCCTTAAAAAAGTGGCCATCTTCCATTTCCTATCACTTTGGATGCTTTCTCTTAAACCTAATCACCATGCTATAAGAAAGCCCAAACAGCCCATGGAGAGGAACAAGAACCCTGGTCCTTAGCCTCAAATGAGCTCCCAGCTAATAGCTCCAACTTGCCAGTTACATAAGTGAGCTATCTTGGAAATAGAATTTCTAGCCTCTCTCCCTCTCGCCCCCCCATTCCCCCCAAAAAATCCCAGCTGATACAACATTGAGCAGAGATGAGTTTCACTATTGAACCCTGCCCAAATTGGAGTTTCCTGAGTGAAATTATTTTTTTTTAAGCTGTAAATTTTGAATGGTTTGTTATACAGCAATAGATAATGGGAACATCAACCAGAATGACAACCCTGTGCAGAAAGGCAACACTTCGGGGCCAGGATCACAGAGCTGTTATGTCATCCCAACCCTCACTGAGCCCTGACTGAGACCAGAAGCCTGTAGTATTTGTTGACATATAGAGTGGGAGTCTGTAGCAGTCCCCCACGAGGGTGACCATCCTTCATGTCCATGCTGGTATGGACGTGGATCCAGGGTTCTCTCTTGCTCATAATCTCCGATCCCCAGGGAACTGGCTGAGTTTTGCCCTGAAGGGCAGCCTATTCCAGCTTCTGGAGGTGAACATGAATGGCAAGGGACATCAAAGTAGCACTTCATGAAAGACTCAGAGAAAGAACACACGTCAAGGGGGAAATCCAGTGATTTCTGCCCCAGAGGAAGGTGCAGCTTGGTCAAGGGTGATTCAGGTGAACACTCACATTTGATAGACAAAGTTCCAAGAAGGTTCTGTGCTGAGGCACACAACCCACATGGCACCTTCTAGGCTCATGCCATCCAACACAGTAGCCACTAGCTACTATGGCTATGTAAATTTAAATTTTATTTTTTTTAAGATTTCATTTATTTATTTGAGAGAGAGAGAATGAGAGACAGAGAGCACGAGAGGGAAGAGGGTCAGAGGGAGAAGCAGACTCCCCGTTGAGCAGGGAGCCCGATGTGGGACTCGATCCCGGGACTCCAGGATCATGACCTGAGCCAAAGGCAGTCGCTTAACCAACTGAGCCACCCAGGCACCGTTAAATTTTAATTTTAACTAATTAAACATTTTTTTTTCATTTAAAACGATTCCTCGAGTCACATGAGCGACAATTTCCAGTGCTGAACCGCTAGCTATCTGTGGCTCTAGGCTGCAGTATTGGACAGTGCAGATGTAGACTAATCCCATCACAGAAGTTTTATTGCACTGTACTGCTCTAGGCCCTTTAAGATTGGTCAATAGAAATGGCCTTGCTCTCTTGGGGTCCTGGGTGGCACAGTTGGTTGAGTGTCTGACTCTTGGTTTTGGCTGGGGTTGTGAACTCCGGATCTCAGGATCCAGCCCCCGGTGGGCTCTGTGCCCCACCTGGGGCTCCAAACTCATCATGGAGCCTGATGGAGTTTCTCTCTCCCTCTCCTCTGCCTCTTACCATACTTGCACCCTCTGTCTCCCCCCCAATCTCTCTGTCCTCTCTCTCAAATAGATGGATAGATGAAAGAAAGAAAGAAAGAAAGAAAGAAAGAAAGAAAGAAAGAAAGAAAGAAAGAAAGAAAGAAAGAAGAAAGAAAGAAAGAA